GGCCTCCCTCTTTCCTTCCTTCGCTGCAGGCCTATCTCCTTCAGGAGGAGGACACGCCTTGGTGGGTCCTGGAGTGCCCCGGGTTCCCAGGGCAGGGTTAATCCCACTGCAGACGTGGCTGTCTAGAGTCCTGGCACTGACCACTTATTTACCTGTGAAAGGGCTCAGCCAATGAGTGAGGGAAGCACTAGTGGTGGGCACAAGGGAGAGCCCAGGCTGGTGTCAGGAGAGGATATGTAGAGATAAAGCAGCCCCATTATACTCAGGCCCAGAGAGGGGCAGTGATTGGTAAAAGGTCACACAGCAAGGAACCACAACTTAGCTTCCTCCCTTCCTCCCCAGCTCCTTTATGTTGTGTCCTTGCCTTTACCCCATGGCGGGGCTAGGGCCTGGACAGAGACCGCTGTGATCGGCTAGAGAGACACATTTTACAAGAGTCTGTAGAGAGTTCCCTGACTTCCACATCCCCCACCCATCCCCGACAAAGCTGAGGCATACAGCTAATCCAGTCCCTCTTTCTGCTCTGTGCAGCTAGGGAAACTGAGGCCCAGGTCCCGTAGCAGAACATGGCGGAGCTGAGGCCAGAACTTGCAGCTCCGGACCCCTGGATGAGTCTTCCCAACAGATCTCTGCAAACTCCAGTGCACCTTTTGGAATGGCAGACAGCCCACTCCCCACAGAGGTGCAATTAATAACCCAGGATCTGACTCTGTCTAGTACCACTCTCTAGCCTGCCATCTAGTGGCAGAAATGAGAGCTATGGACACAGCTCTAAGGACACGACTTGGGAAATTCCTTTTTATTTATTTCATTTTTTTTAATAGATGACCCAGGCACGAGGGTACAATCCCGTAATCTCTGTATTTCAGACCCAGGGTACAAGGCCATCCTGAACTACCCCGAGAGACCTGGTCTCAAAACACCAAAGCAAACACATTTTTTTTTTAATTCATGAAAAGTGGCATCCCAAGACTGGTGATAGTAGCTCACTTCTATGATCCTAGCTACTCAGGAGACTGAGATCCAGAAGATCAACGTTCAAAGCCAGCACAAGCAGCAAAGAATACAAGGTTCCATCTCCAAAATGGGCAGCAAAAAGCTAAGCTGGAGGTGTGGCTGAAGCAGCAGAGCACCAGTCAAGCAAGCAAGACCAGCAAGTGTGAGGCCCTGAGTTCAATCACTAGTACCACCAAAAGCGGGGGGGGGAGAGAGCAGGAAAGAGACAACCACAAAACCTCTGTAGGAAGAACTTCCAGGCGCCTCCCTTCCCCCACCACCGCAAGGTGCTCATTCCCGGAGAAGCAGAGAAGGTGCCTCACCTGTGAAATGTGGTGCTGGATCGATGCACCTCAGAGTCACACAGGTGCTAACAGTCTCTGTGCCTGGTAATTAATTACTGACAAACATGAATTGATCTTAGGAACCGTGACAGGCGGAGCACTGCCGTTCCCCAATCTGGCAGCCGTTCGGACCCTGGGTCAACACTAACAGCCTCTCCCTAATTCGGGAGAATCCAAGAGTCACATGGGAAGGTGGAATGGAATCGGGGTTGCCAGCAGGGCTGGGAGCTGGAGGGAAGCCCTGAGGAGAGCTGAGCTCCTCCCTGGCTTTCTGGAACCAAAGCCTCAGTAGCCAGAACCTCCACCAGGGCCGGGGTGCAGAGGTCAGGGCCACCCCCCCCCCCGCCCTTCACCAGAAATCAGGCCTGCTGGCCCCCGGGTGGCTGGGACAGCCGCTCTGTACACAGCAGAAGAGATGGGGGCCAGGAGGAAAGGAGGGACACGGGCACCATGTGCCCCCGTGACACACCCAGGCAAACCCCTCGTGCACATACGCTCACGTGCTCACACACTCAGCCCGTGGACTCTACGGCAGGAATGTGACCGTAATCTGCCATCCTCCAGCACAGAAGTGGAGAAGGCTCTGAAGAGATGCCCCTGGCTGTTCTAGCCCTTTCCTCCCTTCCCTCCTGCCCAGACACTCCATGACCCTCGGGACCTGGGCTGGGGCCAGGAACCCCATCTCCCCCATCCCTCCGCAGCTGCCCACACAGAGCAGTCCCCTGAGCCCAGCCCACCCTACGCACCCCTGCGGGCCTCGTCCACGGCTCAGCTTCCTCAGGCACACAAGGCCATCCACACATGGCCCTGGGTCCAGACCCAGGCCCCCTGCCCCCCACAACTGGCTAGCACCTGAACTCCCTCCCAGCCTCTGTCCTGGCCTTCCTGCCTCCCCTCTGCCCCTAGGCCTTCCCAATGTGCTAACCCCCAGGCCTCTGACCCTCAGCTCAGACTCCAGCTTCTCCCCGAGGACCCCAGCCATGCAGCCCAGTCCCCTCCCCACCCTGGCTTCATACTGCTCTCCACCCAGCACCCTCGGCTCTCTGTCCTACACAGGCAGCTGGGGAAGGAACTGGTTAGACACTTGGACTGCTGGCTGGCTTCTGCCACTGCTTCACTGGGTGACATTGGCTGCTCATGATTCCTTCCCAGCCTGATTCCATGTTTGCTAAGTGAGACGAAGCTAGTTTTCAGCTAAGAAAGGTATATGCAGCGTCCTCCACCTCCCCACACACAGAAAGGCTCGTGTGTGGAAGGCTCGGTCCCCAGCCAGCGAATCCAATCGCCAAGAGGTGACGGCACCAGGGCGGCTCTCCCTTCACCAGTGGAGCCACCCCTCAAGGACTAGAGCACAAGGGCATTATGGGCAAGGCATGGGAACTAGGAGGCAAGGCCTGGCTGGAAGAAGCAACTGGTTGCTTCCTGGTTGGGACACTGTGAATGGCCCTGGAGCTCCTGCCTCAGTGTCTCTCTGCTTCCTGGCTCCATAAGGTAAGCAGCTCTCCTCTACCAACCCCCTCCCCGGTGGTGCAATCTGTGGGATGGGGGGAGAGATAAGGGAAGGTGTGTGTGTGTGTGAGAGAGAGAGAGAGAGCCTGTTTGTCTGTCTGTCTGCTTTCCAGCTGTCATGAGGTGAGTAGCTCTCCTCCACCAACTCCTCCCCCATAGCATTCTGGGGGGGGGGGAGAGGAGAAGGGAGGGTGTGTGTGTCTGTGTGTGTGTGTGTATGTGTGTCTGTTTGTCTGTCTGTTTCCCGGCTGTCAAAAGGTGATGTCTATCTTTCTGTCTGCTTCCTGGCTGCCATGAGGTGAGCAGCTCTCCTCTACCCCCTCTCTCCACCATGACTCTTTGCCTTACCACAGGCCCAGCAGCCATGGCACCAGTCCCCCTGGACTACAACCTCTGAAACCATGAGCCAACATTAAATCTTTCCTTTCCTGAAGTTGTGTCTGTCACAGCAATGGAAAACTGATCTTTAAGGAGCCTTCCAAGAACAGTGAAAGTGAGAAAGATAAGGAAAACCAGCCCTACCACAGCCTCTCAGGGAAAGGTGTCCCTTCCCTGTCCCCAGGGTCACCCCAGGGCAGTGGAGGAAGTGACAGGCAGAGCAGACCCCCCCCTTCCCACCTTCTCCCCTTATCTCACCCCCCTCCCTTACCCCTCCCACTAGCTCTCAAGGTCCATGTGTGGAGAGGCGCCCTGGTGTCCTGAGAGACACTGGCCCCACAAGGTCTTTTCATCCCCTAACTTCAGCCCACCTGACCTTCGCAGGACACAGCAGGGATCCAGAAACCCCCAGGCCTGGCCCACTCTGGCCTCTTCTGGCCACCTTGCCCCACACATCCTGGCTTCTTGGCCACCAGCCTGCTTGTCTAAGTACTACTCTCTGCTCTGCAAGCCCAGAGCCAGGAGGCAGATGGACCCCAAAGAGATGGACTGGCTGGAGCAGGAAACAGAGCCCCACAGCCACAGCACTGATGCTGGTCAAGGTGGGACAGTGCTGACTGTGGAGGGAGCTATGGTACAGATATGGTACACAGGTTCAATGACTCAGACAGGGCCAAGGAAAGAAGTAGGCTTAGCATAGACAGAACTCTGCTCACATCCCTGCCCAGCTGCCAAATTGCTGTGTGAACTTTCAGAAGATACTTAAGCTCTCTGAGCTTCACACAGATTGTTGAGAAGATTAAATCACAGTCATCAGTATGCCAAGTACCTAGATCACAAACAAACCTCCTGTCCTTCCACTCAGGACTGAAGGCTCTGTGTGGGCATGGCCCTCCCTCCCCCCCCCCAGCCCACCCCAACACGGGGCAGCAGAGGAATCAGGAGACCTTGCCGGCCACTGTGGAAGAGCGTCCTTGGGCAGGAAACCACGCCTCCAAGTCTCAGGTTTTTTCATCTCTAGAGGGAAAATAGCCCACCTCCCCCTCAGCGTAACTGTAAGGCTCAGAAAGATGCAAATAGAACAATGCCGGGCTTGTGGTTACAAGGTGGGTGGGTGAATGGATGGATAGGATATGTGGGTGGATAGATGGATGAGTAGATGATGGGTGGATGGCTGAATAGGTAGATGAGTGGATGGGTAGGTTGATGAATAGATGGCTGAATGGATGATGGATGGGTAGATCTGTGAATGGATGGATGATGGATAGATGGGTGGATGAAGAGACATGTGGATGGATGGTGGATAATGGATGGATGGAGGATAGGTGGATGTGTGCATGGATGGATGGATGTTAGCTGAATGGATGATGGATGGGTGGATGATGGGTGGATGAATGGATGTGTGGATGGATGGGTAGATGGATGGACAGGTAGACAGGTGGATAGACCTGTGGATGAGTAGGTAACAGAGTTCAAGCTGTAAGTCTGTCAACGAGGGCTTTTGAATCCACCACCCAGCAATGCCGCACGTGTCTCCCCTTCTCTTCATATTCAAGCTCACCTTCCAGTCTATGAAAACTACCCCCAAAGAATGTGCAATGCCTTGACAGTCAGACCCCAGGAACCGAAAGAGATGTAAATTATCTGGGGACCCAAAGGCATCAGGGTCACTGTCTGGCCTCTTCAGGCCCAGATGAAGGCCCACAAGTTCTGTGGCACTGCGGCCACGCCTGTCTGGGGGATGGGGATGGGTGGTCAGGAAGCGCAACTCACTGGGCACGCGGTTGATGGCTTTGAGGGGCCTCAGGACACGCACAGTGCGGATGGCCGACAGGTTGATGTTCTGAAGGTCCAAGGAGTACTCCACCATCCTGCAGAGAAGGGGGAGAGAGTGAGGGAGGGGTGGGAGACACCCACGCAGGCCAGCCACGCCCACCGGGGTGGGGCTAGCAAAAGGGGTCAGAATCTGGGCTATGTCTCTGACAGTGTGGACCCTGGCTATTTGTTAGACTCATATCAAGGGGAGAGGGCTGTCTTTTACCTGTCCTTGGGTCTCCACAGATGTAGGGGGGCATCAGGAGACCTACCAGGCCTGGCCTCTCTCTCTGCCCTGCCTCACATCAAGCTGTACATCTGGAAGGTGGCGGGAGGCTGTACTTTCCGTGGGGTCTTGAGTGGACTGGCGCCCCCCAGCTCCAGCCTCGCACGTGCCACATCTCCCCAGCCCGGGGCTTGGGTCCAAGCTATCCTAGCCAAGGGTCCACCCCGTCTCCGTCCACGAAAGCCTGCCCCTGCCTAAAGGGTCCCTAAGCAGGTCCCTGAGTCCTCGAAGCTCCTCCATGCCAAGCCCACGGCGAGATGGGCCAATGCACCAGAGTGGACCAGCATGTCACAGCCATGGACCCACGGCCCGCCAGCCTCGCAGCCCGGGGGAGGCGCTCGCCTCTTCCAAGGGGTCTTCCCAGAGCTCCCATGAAGGGCAACGCTCAAGCACCACAGTCCCTCCCCACGGAAAGACAAGCCCAACGCTGGGGACCTTGCCAACCGGGGCCTCCCCACCCCCGCTCACGCTCCATCCCGCAGACACCTGCCACCTCCATCAGCCGAGAGGAAGGCGCCTCTGCACACGGCACCAACCTGCTCCCACCCCCTCCTGCTGCCTTCAGTCATTGAGTGAGAGCTGCTTCGCCTGAGATGCCCCCAGCCACCCCCCACCCCGCTGCTGCACATGCTCAGCTCCAAGGGTGCAGCCCAACACACCTGCGCATGCACGCGCGCGCGCGCACACACACACACTCTCTCTCTCTCTCTCTCTCTCTCTCTCTCCTACTTCCACCCACATCCAGATGGGGGTTGGGGGGGAATGACCCAAAAAAGTAAGTCACTGGAGACGGAGCCTAGAGGAACCGTCTGGGGTGCTGGGGGGGCAGGGCCAGCCGCGCGTGGGGCCATGTGAGGATCCCACATGCGGCGAGCCACGCCGTCACCCTCTTAGGCACAGATGCGTGTGACGGAGGCGCTGCGGGGGTGGCGCACCCCAGCCTGGGGAGCCCCCTCCCCGACGGGCAGTCCCTCACCATGCCCCACTCACCATCCCCAGGACCCTCCACTACTGCACCCCATCTTCTCAGGCTCCCGCCCAGGGGGGGTGGCACAGCTTGGGGGTTGAACCCCTCATGGACTGCACACCCGCGCCCCAGAGCACTCGCTCAGCCCCGGCAGGCGCCCATACGAGGCTCCACGGACTGCTAGCAACAGAACCAGGGACTTTCTAGCAATTTCCCTGTGTCACCCGGCTGGAGGTGCCCGCACCCGTGCGGCACGCTGCTCGGGACCTGGGACCAGGACAGAGCTTCTGCCACGGGCCACCTCTGCCGGCCTCCTCCTGCCCAACTCCCCACCCCGCCCTGCCACCCCGGCTTTGCCAGTCCTCCTGGGGACGCCCAGGTACCCAGATATCATGGGATATCTGTTCTAGCTAACTGTGGGCGTCACCCACGGCTGTGCCCCAGGACAGGCGGGGGGTGCAGGGGCCCTGGGTAATGGTGTTTTTTCCATTTTGTGTTGGCCACAAAGAAGGGTGTCAGGAAGAGGTGGGCCCGGGGTCCTGATGAAATACAATTCAGGGCTGGGTGGCTGGTGCCCCACACTGCCTGGCTAGTAAGCTTTGGGTGGGAGGGGGGAATGCCTCCCCGACCCAGCCTTGCCATGAGAGGCTGGACAGACTCACAGAGCCTGGACACTCACTCCACGGACCCACAGCCCCCCCATCCCCAAGGAATGCCTTGGGAACTCCAAAGCCTCAAAGCCTGAGCAGGTCCACGTGAGGCTGATCTGGAACCAGATATGATTAACCCAGCCCCTTCCATTCACCCCAGACCTGACCTCCAGGTAGGAATATACCTTCCAATCAGCTGGGGGGAAATGTGATGTTCCCCTTTTTCCATTTGGCTGCCAGGGAGCTCAGCAAGGAAAGATCTTGATATTGTGCAGTCCTTTCGGGGAATCCATTGACCTAAACATTTCTCTCAGGTTCCTCCTCTCTTGACAGTTGTGACCCAATGCGGGTGGGGGTGGGGGAGTAGGAAAGTACATACATACATTTGGTAGTTTAAAAAAAAATGCTGGGCGCTGGTGGCTCACACCTGTCAACCTAGCTACTCAGGAGGCTGAGATCTGAGGATCACAGTTCAAAGCCAGCCCAGGCAGGAAAGGCTGTGAGACTCTTATCTCCAATGAACCACTCAGAAAACCAGGAGTGTGCTGCGGCTCAAGTGGTAGAGCACTAGCCTCGAGCTGAAGAGCTGAGGGACAGCACCCAGGCCCAGAGTTCAAGCCCCATGACTGACAAAAAAAAAAAAAGGAAGAGGCACCCATAAGAGGTGAAGAACCAGCAGTTCTCATTCTTCTCTGAGGAGACGAGGACAGGAAGGGGCCACTAGCCAAGACAGGGGTGGCAGGAAGAGCTGGGGACGGTGGAAGGGCAGAAACTCTGGGCTCACGCCATGGAAGCCTCAAGCAGCAGCACGTGGGTGAGCTGCTCAGCTCCTCCTGAACCAACCATCACACCCCTCTCCCCTGACGCCAGCCTCTTCCTGCCTGTCCTCCTTCCCCTGCGGCCTCCTCCTCCCAGCGCATCACCACAGACCTTCCAAACCAGACTGAGCTGTGCCCCCACACACGCACACCCAGTGTGGCCTCTGGCTATGGCCCCTGGTCCGTTTGCCCTCCGTGTTCAGCGCCGCCCATCAGCAGCCCCGAGCACAGCCCCTTCCTGCCTTCCAGCACCGCCTCCCCCAGGAAGCTCTTCTCACCCTGCTTAGCGCCACAGACACAGCCCACCACGGCGTGCCGTTCACAGCTCCCGGAGGACGTGGGCTCCCCTCAGCACAGGCCCTGAGCCAGTAACTCAGGAAAGTCCCTTTCTTGGGGGGAATCCCAGGAAGGGTGGGAGGAGGAGGAGGAGGAAGAAGAAGAAGAAGGAAAAGCCAAGGGAGTGTTGTTCACCCCAGGTCACTGTCGTTGCGGGCAGCAGGTGTGGTGGCGTCCTGGAGCCCCCAAGAGTCCATGTGGAGGAAGCGCGGGCCGAGCTGGGCCAGGGAGCTGGTGGTGGAGCACCGCTTCCTGAGTGGGTACAAGGCCCTTGATTTCCATGCCCAGCACTGGAGAAAAGGAGTGAGTGGAGGCTGGAGAGTGGAGGCTGGAGGGTGGAGGCTACAGGCGTCAGCCACTGGTGAAAAGATAAGGTTAGCTCCCATGGAGAAAGTTCTCCATGGCCCTGGTCCAGAAGAAAGCTGGCCAGGATGCAGGGCGCTATCTGGGACAGGACACAGCTGACCTGACGGGCCACGGGACAGACACGAAGAGCACCCTCGGGAACTCTGTGACACTGGACGTGAGCCTCTCTTGTCCTCCGACCTCTGCAGCCCCAGGTCCCCTCACAGCCCTCAGGGAACACACCGAGCATGACTGCTCCCGCTGCCTTGCGCCCAGCGCCACCCACAGCGAACAACGCTGGCTTTTGCCCCTCCTCACGTCACCCCATGATGCGTGGCCACCCCCCACCCTGCTCCACTCCAAAGTAGACAAAGTGAGAAGGGGCGGCTGAGTGGGTGGATAAACACAGGGCTGGCTTTCCCGTAGCCCACCCCCCCTTGGCCCCCCAACCGGTAAGACATCCCTTTGGGGAGGTGAGAAATTAATTCCTAATTACACAGTGACTTTATCACACAGCGTTGGTGCTAAAAGTCTTTTAAAAAGAAATCCAACCATCCCCCCCCCACTACCTCCTGCCAGCTCTCAAGCACCTAATTAGGTGATTTTGTTTTAAAGCGAGCACTTCCGTCCTGGAAGCCCCAGGAGGAGAGGGACTTAACTCAGTTCCTGGCTGTTCTCCTGGGCCAGGAGGGTAAAGTAACCAGGGCTCTTCAGGCGTTTCCTCTCCCCGGCTTCAACAAGAGGCCCGGGCCTAGTCAAGCCGGGCCACAGACTGGCACAGCCCCTCAGGGGCGGCATCCTTGCCACACGGCCAGAGCAGCTCCCTCCAGCTGCACATGAATCTCGGCCACTGCCCACGGCACAGCACTGGGTGCAGGACCTTCCCTTGGGGTCCGGGGCTGGGAGGGTCTCTGCAGCTTAAAGCCCAGCATCCTGGCTGGTCCTGGGCCCTCAGAACCTGCCCAGGGCCTTATGCACCTGCCCCCACCTAATTGCACCCCATAGAAGCAAGGCCCAGAGAGACCCCAAATGACCCAGCCAGGCATAGGGGGTGCAGGAGCTCTGTGTCACCCACCCTCCCATCCGTCATCAGCGAAGCCTGGGTAGCATGACCGCCTTTGGGGGACACAAGCCCCCCAACACTGACTGCAGTTCCCTGGATGAGCCAGCACTCCTGGAGGCCGTGTGGTCCAGTGGTTAGAACCCAGAGCGGTCAGGATGACCTGGGCAAGAGCCTGGATGGAAATGAGCTCAAACAGACCCAGAGCAGGCAGGACCTGAGCCTGAAGAGCCACACAAGTGTCGCCCAGCATCACACAGAACGCTGACTCAGTTCACACGCACACGAGAGTCACGTGACACCTGCTGAAGTCCTTCCAGCCTCCCACTGCCTGCTTGGAGAAGTCCAGGCAGGAAGGGCCGAGAAAACTCAAGCAGCAGGAGCCAGTATCCCTGAGCCGTCCACCCTACTCCCCCGGGGTGCCAGGGACAAGGAACCTTCCAGCTCCCAGACTGCACCAGGCCATCTCAGGCTTGCGAATCCTTCCCAGCCTTTCCAAGCTAGCCCACTCCTGTAATCCTAGCCGCTCAAAGGATTGAGATCTGAGGATCGCGGTTCAAAGCCAGCCCAGACAGGAAAGTCTGTGAGACTCTT